GAGCTGTTTTCATGATCAGCTATAAATAGAAATGCCTCTTGGTTTGCTTGCGTCACCAGACTATTGAGTCTCGTTTTCATGCGCGCGCCTGCGATAATTTTTTCAGCAACTGCTTATTCAATGACATGCGCACTAGACGATCATCAAACAATATTTACCTGTGCTATTCTTGTAGTCTTATCGAGGCTTTGATAATGATCATTGCTGCTTTGTTCAGTGGGTGGTGATATTTGATAACGAGTCTTCCTACCGTTGTTTCTAACGTTTCGATCTTTCATCTCATAGTCGTCAACAGAAGCGTAATCCGTTTCATTCTTGGTGCTATCTGCTTGTTTTTTCTTACAAAACATCTTCCTTCTTAGAGCTAATGTTGTTATTACTATTATGGCGATGATGAGAATGATATTGATGGTGATTATGGCGACGAACGAAGGGAGTGTTAACCAGCTTGCGCTTTCTATAGAAATAAAAATGGAATCAAAATAGAATATATTGGTCTAGGGGCTATACGGACCATACGAAGCCTGCCTAGTCGGCCCTCTTTGAAGCATGGTGAGAAGAGGAAAGAGGACCCTTATGGCCCACCAAGAAGGACCAGACGCGCCGGGGCAAAACAACCATATTGTGAGCTACAGCTTTTTTAATTATAGCTTTAGAACGCGTTTCAAAAAAAAATATTGTCCGCACACAATACTCAAAACAGCTGTATAGTTTTATAGTTCCAATGTTGTTTTACCTTGGTCTTTGGCTGTGAAGACAACGGTGTTATTTCTTGTATTTGATTGAGTCGTTGTAGTTTTGAACGCGTAACTTCCAATGGCAGGCAAATATTCTATTGTCTAGGAAAACATCGACAAAATTTATATTTAGGATTGTACGGGCGTTTATAATGGAATATGTTAGGACTGATACTGCTCTTCTTTTTGAGGGTCTTAGGATGCTAAAACTTATTTCAGGTTTCTAAGAAAGAATCAGTAAATCCAAATTAAGAAATTTATCGGCTTTTAAAAATAATTCTGTGAGCTCCCACAAATGCAAGCATTCTCAGATGGTTCATTTTTAGATAAATATATAGACTAACWTTATCGCTTGACTTGGACACACTTCTAGTGAATATTCTGTACGTCGTGGCTGGTTCTAATGGTGCGTTGTAGTAACCGTTGTACATTCTACCATCTCCTATAGTCACGTTATAGCCTTCGATCTCAGCWGCTATGTACGAGAAACAAAATGGCGACTCTTTGCACTTCTTGTAGTCAGGAAGATCTGTTYTTGGGGGKCTATCGCTTGTTACRTTGYCTTCAGGGTATTTTCGAACAATGAACTGAGTCCTGAAATCAGTATCGAATAAATCAATTAGTAATGGTTTGATGAAATGAACGAATGAATGAATTATTGAATAAATGAATAAATGAAATGGAGAAATTAATGAATAGATGAATGATTGACGAAGTGGATGGAATGCTGATAAGTGAATAAGATGATTATAAATGCGGAATGTTTGAGACATTTTTACCTGTACCATTTTTTCTTTACCGTTTTTACAACTAAAAGGAAGAGAAAAAAAGATACATCGGTTTAGAGAACAATGCTCGCATGGTATTCAAGAACCGCAAATAAATGACGCACTTCTAGCTTGGACAAACGCGCGAAGTTTGGCGCAAACCGGCTGAGTGCCACAAGTCAAATACATAGATCGCGATCCGACATACTCGTATACAGCCACTTCCTACGTTTAAAACTATTTCTAAACTGGCAACTATTAATCTAATCCAACCTGACTATAAGCTGTTTTGCTATAAGTAATCGAGTAAAAAAGGGAGAATACTAGGCATAAACAAAGGATACGTGGTGTGTTAGCAGCGAATCAACTTCTTCATGAAAGACGACAATGTGGAACTTCATGTGATGTTTTGTTTCTTGATGCATCGGTAAGGATACACAAGGAAATAGCTTCGTGATTGTTGCATCAGCATTGTAGATCTACAATTAGGAGACAAGAAAATTAATAAACTATGAGCGTGTGAAGAGGAACTGGAAAATCGTGAAAACAACCAACTCAGAATCGCGCAACTTGCAACTTACATTGTTTTCTTTGCTTCTTTTGCTGAGCTGCTTTTTACAGAAGTTTACAACCGAGATTTGGCGAGTGCGTTGGTCAAGTTCCGTCTCTTTCCCGAAAGTAACTGATGAATAATGTTCTGTGGACCTGTATTCACCAACCAAAGGAACGTTTTTGCTGTTACGAAACTGGAATTGATGTTGCAGTTTTATTCAGAACCTTCAAGCAATGTGAAAGAAATACAATACTTGCAACACTTTTGCCGGAAATATTGTTTGACACTTTGTCACCATACAGATAAACGAAACAGTCATGTATTAATATCTTTTCTCATTTATGCTTTCATGTCATTTTTTTGTGTCATTCTATAATTTTATCTTTTTTAACAGTCTCAGGGAAATTTGAGTTTATGGTATCCCTGTGGAATTGCATGCTCATCTTCGGTCAGCGGTAGAGTCATTAGTCCCAGACTTCTGACCGCGTGCGAAGAAACGACGCCATTTTGATACTTGGGGAACATTTATTGATTCATAACAAGACAATTTTGGTGTAAAAAAGATAAAAAGGGACTTGAGATTTGATCTATAATCTCAATCATGATGTCTACAAAGATTCTCAACTCAAGAATCCCGCTAAACTGCGCGGCAGGAGCTGTTCCAGTTCGAAATGAAAAAGGTTTGAACTCGAAGGCTTTCCTTGTCATTCAAGACCCTCAAACACATGTTTCGTTTTATATTTTATTCTTTGGTATTCTATATTCCAAAAGATAAAGTTTTATAATGCATGCAGTTTATAAAATAAACGTTTATAAAATAAACGAGTGTACTGTGAAGATTGAAGACGAGTAATTTTACACAGACTTAAGCTTAAAATACAGTTGTTGGAGTGTGTAGTTCGTTTGTCCCGACGAAATGCCTCAATAATGTTCTAGTAATAATGAACATAGACACATGTATGTGTAAATTTATTGTTTTCTGTTTAATTCAGGTGAAATAACGATGGAGAAAGTGAAAGTCACCAGATATGTTGCTGGAAAAAGGTGCGCAAAAGTAGAGTTTTTATTGAAAAATTAGGAAAGAAGTTGTCCTTCAGTAGCATTATATAGTTGAAATAATTGATGAGGGATGTACACTACTGTAGAAAATCAAATAGGTGTTGACGAGCTTTCGCCAGACACCAGCGTCATCAGAACATGAAAATAGTTGTTTTATTATTGTTGTTCTGCAACCAACTTCACTTGCTGTCAGACTGACATTGTTGTTTGTTGATACATGTACACCTAATTACGAAAACATCATCCTGAGATTTAGGGATTTAGGAAATTAGGAATGCATTAAAAGACAAAACATGACCACTGAAGCCGAACACTTTCTTTTGTTTTTTAATTAATTCCTAAATAGTAAAATTTCTTTTTTCTTGGACAACGTTTATGAAATTAGGTGTAAATGTTTTCATGTATTTTGTGATACTGTAGACCAGAGTACGCACGATATTCAAGCGATGAGGAAGATGATGAGATGGAAGTGTTTGGTGAGCAAGTCAGGGGGGTGCAAGATGAAGACGAAAACCTTGAGCAGGTACATTGGCATGTATTATTAAGAAAGATATGAAAAATGAGAACAATTAATATAGATCAAGTAAGAAAGGAAACAAATGTGAAGATATAACAATGTTTTTGTTGAAGGCATTTGAACAAGGTGAGAAAACAGACAGACGATTACGACGGCTACAAGAAAGAGCTAAAGAAGAAGAGGATGGGTAGGTGTTAGTGATCTTAACTTGTTTAACGACGTAATTATATATGTTTATTTAAATATTTATGACAATGTTGTTATATTAACTCAATAGAGTACAAACACTAAATATGTGCAACACTTTCCACTATTTACTGCAAAATAGTGTTAATTAAACAATAGAAAACAATAGAATTAGCAGTATTTAGCAGTATTTAGTGGTATTTATGTTGCACAGTTTTAGTGCTTGCACTCTACTATATTAAGAAAAGTTAATCTTAAATCAAGCTTAGTCCTTCATATTGAGATATTCCATGTATATTTATAGGGAAGATGTGCGYCGACATCGTTTRCATGAACCTGAGGTTATAGCCACTGGAGATGATCATTTATCTGCCGAYGAGGTACCGTAATCTGTGTTTAACTGACAATCAAAGTTACATTTAAACAAACTWATCAACAAAMGATAACAACAAATACAGTTACGGCAACACACAAATTTTCATGGACAGACATGATCTTTTAATCAATGCTATAATATAAGGAATATCTTTGACATAATATTATTCATGTATTATAAATTCTTATTCTTTGTGCAAGATGTAAAGACAATATGTGATTCTTCAGTCTCCATGGTTACTAATGTATGCTAATTTACCCATACTGCCAATTGGTCTACCACTTGCCCTATAAAAGATAAATCAAAGAACTGTCCTTTAAAATGTAAAATTTGCTAAGGCTTGAAGTAAACTCTTGACTTGTAYTTTGTTCCAGAATGAATCTGAGGCAAGAAGACGTGTTATTCCAATGGAAGAGGAGAGCAGGTTAGAGATAAAGACTTTCTGTGCTAAATATTTAAGTAAAGATTTGTTGTTACTGAATGATTACAACAATTTATATTTTTATTAGAGGCTTTTGTAATCCTGTTCATTCATAAGGTTTTAGGGCAAAAAATTATGTATTTTATTTGATTCAAAATATCTTTTATTCTAGTGAGGAAGAGGAACTAGATGAAGAGGTAAGACTTCCTTTACCACCATTACACTATTGGTAATGATTTTAATAGTCCCACTGTAACTGTAATTCTGTTTTTATCTAGGCTATTGAGAGACGACGTCAGATGCTTAGACAAAGAGCTAGACAGCAACAGGAAGCCCAACAGGTACCATTTGTTTCTTTCATTTTTCTCTTTCCTTTTATTTTTTTTTCTCTTTCATTCCATTCTTCCCTTCTTTCAAAGGTGATCTTTGTTTACATTATTTAATAATGATAATCCCAATACTTTAAGTCTACACAGTATGCAGCAGTATATACATGTAATATGATTAAAACTACTACTTTACCTGGAAATATTGACCAGGAATTTACATAATTCCTTTAATTGTTTCTTCTCATATTTCAGTTTCCTTAATCTTTTCTATTTTTTCATGTTTCATCCATTTTTCATTTCTGTATTCTTTCATTTTTCATTCAAATATCCTTTCATTTATTCTCATTATTCTAAAGGATTTACTTGATCTTGAAGAAGAAGCAAAATCTTTATTTTTCATTTTTCATTCAAATATCCTTTCATTTATTCTCATTTTTCTAAAGGATTTACTTGATCTTGAAGAAGAAGTCAAATCGGAGGCAGAGGAGGAAGAAGACGTGAGTTTTTTTCGTACAATTTTGCATTCACAAGATGAAATCCATGTATTTTCTAACATTTCTAAGATGTTAATTTCATGTATTGATCTGTCTAGTCATCAGAGTATGAGGAATACACGGATTCAGAGGAAGAATCAATGGGGCCAAGATTAAAACCAGTGTTCGTCAGAAGGTATGTGTATTACAGTAACCTTTCAGTTCCAGCCTTCTCACTATGTAACTCTATTCCCTCCTTATGGCTTTCTTTTCTCTTCCTTGGCTC